GAAACCAGTCAAGGTCACCACTGTACCCAACAGGGTTGTTTAGGTTGCTGGTGTTGCTTAGAGTTTAGATCTCGATCTACGATTTTAAAAATACAAACAAACGTAAATTTCTTTGTTTGTCCCCAAAATAACACTAGACCACCGGACCAGCACTTATTTAATGTTATTAGTCCTTAGGAAAATAGGCTAGACACGGACCAGCAGACCAGTGTTTGTGTCGAACACTATGCCAATGTGAGTGAGTGTGTATGGTTTTACACTGCTTTTTGCAATATTCTGGTGGGTTCCAGAAATGGGCTTCACACTTTACACCGATGTGGGGACTGAAACTGGACCTTGGGCTACCCAACCAAAACACCCATGTGAAGAATCCAATCCAGTTCATGTCTGATGATGTCATACATTAACTGCTCTACATGTAACAGGTGTGTGTGAGTGCATGCGTGCGTGCATGCTTGTATTAGTCCGGACTGATGCCGATTTATAATGCTAGCTCACTGAGATACCTTGCCGCAGTTTAACATGAATACCCCACTCAGACACAGTATACTGACTCCAAGCCGACCAGTCCTTGTTTCAGCCCCTTAATGACGAATGCCAGGCAGAGTAACAACAAGTACCATTTTTTTAATGACTTTTCTGGTATGATGCGGGCGGGGATCAAGCCCCGAACCTTCCTCTCTCCGGGCAGACGCTCTACCGCTAGACCACGGAGGCAGTCCTCTATATCTAACAACTGAAACCTTATGCTGCACGTTTGTTTCCAAATTAAAAGTAGCACAGTTACATCAACAGGAAACAGTGAGGTTACCCAGCTCTACACTGAACACACAGAATCTCCTGAATGTTGTTCTGAAAAATCAGGCAAATGATTGAAGAATGGCAACAGACTAGCCCTTTGATGTAGGCATAATAGAGCTCCTCCCACAGTGGGAGAGTGAGTTGGGTTTAAGGCTTTTAACAGCATTCCAGTTATATCGCAGCGTGTCAGCTTGATGTGGGAGGAAAGCCCAAGTGATGCAGGTCTCAGAGTTTATCAATTCGGTGAAACCCACGAGCACGGGTATGGTGCTGACAAACCTAGAAACATAATCGGGGCGAACCGGGATTCGAACCCACAATCATAGGTTTCTGGCGTGCGCAAGGGACGCAACTCTGCACAGTCCTCCCACAGACTCATGTTGACATCAATAAAAAAGATAAAAGGATGGATTTCTGAATTCAGGCGGAAATATCACATGCCTGTATTTTTTGTTTTGTTTGGTTTGTTGTTGAACGCTGCATTCAGCAATATTCAAGCTATATAACAGTGTGGAATTGTGGAACAGACAATCCAGTGATTGACGTTAAGAGCATCGATCCACGCTATTGGGATACAATGACATGCATCAACCAAGTCAGCGAGCCCGACCACCTGATCCCGTTAGTCGCCTTTTATGGCAAGGATGGGTTCCTGAAGACCTATTCTACCCCGGATATTCACGGGTCCACATGCCTGTAATATTATTGTGCATCCCCGATTGAGAATGGTTGAACACTGCTTTGAACAGTATTCCAGTTATATCACAGCATGTCATATTAAAGTGGAAGGAAATGAGGAAAGCCTAAAGTGATGCAGGTCTTAGACATTTGGGTTACCTCTGTGAAACCCATAGGCACTGGTATGGTGCTGACAAATCTAGAATCATGATCAGGGTGAACCAGGATTCGAACCCACAATCATAGGTTATGCATGCCAAAGGGATATAACTCTGCACAGAGCATTGCGATGCCTTAGACAACTGGGCCACCTGTACCCCTGTTTTACATAGGTTCTATGTTATAACAACACACAATATGAATCATGAAGAAATAATATTTTATTAACATGTTATTTGTACATTGACATTTTTCATGATATACGACATAATGTTGATGGTAATCTACAATGGATCCAACTTGTGTCATGACTTATGGAAAATGCTGATGTAAGTTTACTTGTACAAAACAACTGAATCTTGGCTCAATTCGCAACATTCTCCTCTCAAAGATGATCAATGACTTAGCTGGCAAGTGAACAGACACAAATTTCCACAGATTTTCTCCATAGCTAGGTCACTTTAGCCGTGCACACATGAACAAAGTACATTTGCACGTAACCATGACAACAAGTGTAAATTAGTCTTTAATTTCTGAATAAAAAAGTTTGTAATCATGATAGTGGGATCTCAAATTTGTGAACGGAGTAATAAGACTATAGATAATGGTTGTTGTGGTGTGTGTCTGCTTGTACGAGTCCGGAATAATGCCAGTTTTATAGTGCTAGCCCACAGAAATACCATGCCACAGTTGAACACAGATGCACTCTGACACAGTATACTGACTCTGAGTCAACCAGTCTTTAAATTCAGAGTGAGTGAGTTGGGTTTAAAGCTGCTTTTAACATTATTCAAGTTATATCACGGCGTGTCAGCTTAAAGTAGGAGGAAAACCCGAAGTGATGCAGGCCTCAGACGTTTACCACTTCGATGAAACCCACTAGCATGGGTATGGTGCTGACAAACCTAGAAACATAATTGTGGCGAACCGGGATTCAAACCCACAATCATAGGTTTCTGGCGTGTCCAAGGGATGCAACTCTGCACAACGAATCGCAGCGCCTAAGACGACTGGGCCAACCGTGCCCCCTTAAATTCAGAAATTCAAAATGCTACACTATGACCTGATTATGTGCCAATATGGTCTTTGTGAAATACCTCTTTGAGAAAATCTGCCAAAATCCGACCTGTTTGTTTACCAGCTGTGTGCACAGTAACAAAGTGTCTCATTCATACCTTGACGTAGCCTCTCTGAGGTATCCTCCTCATAAGGCTCAGAAACAAGCTGCAGTAACATTGACAAATATTAATTACCACGATATGAGGTAACATATTTTCAGTTGTATTTTGGAAATGATAATGTCAATTTTTCATGATCATGATAGTGTGTGTCCTTCGTCTTGTTTATTAAATTATTAATTACTCACTGCAATGATTATAGCTTTGGCCACAACACATTATTAGATTTTCATCTCTGCACTACTCACTGCCAAACATCCGCCTCAAATTGCATTGTCCTATAGTAACCATGGTAACTAAAGAGGAAGAAAATAGCTGTGTGAGTGACTACCTTCTTTACTTCATGTAGTCAAATACATAATTCTACCAAACATTCGTGCTTCATGTGAATCGCTTCCGTTAACCACTGGACCATGTAACTAATAATTGGCCTTGTCTATGATTTTTGCAATTTTTTTTAATTGTTATTATTAGTTACATAGTCCTGTGTGTTAACACACCGATACCTTGAACAGACTGTTTTTTATTAAAAAAATAAAAACATGTTAAAAAATGCTTCTGATCTCAGAGTTTTGGTAAAATTTAGATGAAAACCTAACAACTAATACAATGTGTCCTTATTATACACTATGTACCATTGTACAAAATAGTGATTGGTTGTTTGTCTAGTCTCAGAACTATTATCATGATTATGTTGCTATGGTTACTGCCTTTTTCAGGCTGAATACACCCTAACCACCATTGCTAACATGTAAGTACCAGTAGAAACAGTATTCCTGACTTGTTCGAAGACTTGATGACTTGTTACATTTGCCTTTACTTTGCTAACCAATGATTCAGTTCCGATAGATTCAGACTGTGTATCGTATTACACACGCACACCATGATGCATTCATACTATTCTACTCAACGATTGATAGGGATAATCAGATATGTCATTCAAGTTGAATAAGTACTTGACATTTCTCTATTCGAATGTACACTGGACATATGAGAAGCCATGGAAAGATAATTATTATGCCTCAAAGTGAGTTTGACCAATCAGAGAGCAGAACAACTAACCCCATACGTGCCCGTATACCGTCAGTAACAGCCATTTTTTGACTTTCCAACACTCACCTCACATATTTCACATGAAATTCTGGTACAGAAATTCGTTATATGACACTGTTTTGTGTTTTAATGTCATTTATTTTAATGTGCAAGGACGTTAATGTTTTTTTTAATCATGTTTTTGACTCTAATAAAGATTATATAAAGTTAAAATTATCAACAAGGTTTGGCCTCTGAGGTTTGAAGAGTAGTCTCCCTTTGACCCTTAACGTCTTAGGTTGTAGGTGTTGTTAAGTTTTGAGTTTTAAGTTTTGACATGACATGTGCGACAAAGATACCAAATAGTGTAAACTTTTCAACGCCTCGCCCAATATGTTTCTGCTAGCCTAATATGACACTGTATACGGCAACTAAAGACACCATAACTCATAATATATCCCTATCAGAAGTGGAGTAGTATGAACTGTGACCTGCAGGACTATTGGTTGCATGACGTCAGATATGAGGCTCCAGGTATATGTTGATGTATGTCTTTCACTGTGAGGATTTTGAAGAAATCCAACGGGTAGAACCTGTAAGTGTCTCATATACCTGGACAATTCTCAAATGAGCTTTTGTTCTGCCTTTCTTAGCTGACCAACAGACCCAAGTTTGCCTCCTGTCAACCTCAAGATTGACACAAGTCATCCTCCTGTCAACCTTCAGTTGGACACAAGTCAGCCTCCTGTCAACCTCAAGATTGACACAAGTCATCCTCCTGTAAACCTTAAGATTGACACAAGTCAGCCTCCTGTCAACTTCAAGATTGACACAAGTCATCCTCCTGTCAACCTCAAGATTGACACAAGTCAGCCTCCTGTAAACCTCCTGTTGGACACAAGTCAGCCTCCTGTCAACCTCCTGTTGGACACTGTCATCCTCCTGTAAACCTCAAGATTGACACAAGTCAGCCTCCTGTTTCCTACCAGTTGTTTCAGCATCTGTGACCCCAGTCAGACGCCATCAGAAGTTAAATCAGCGGGCTCCTCCGCCCACTGCAGGACATCTTCCAACACATCAGTTCCACTCCCCCATTCAGCCCTGCCCCATCAATTTGTGCCTTAAAAAACTACTGCTCCCATCTTAAGCCATCCAAGTTGATCCCATCCACAGTCCATCCCTTCCTTCGAGGCACGGATCCCTGTATATACACACGGCACCGAAACACAACGTATTGGCGGCTGATGGGTCCTTATGTACACAAAGTGTTCCCACATTCTGCTGGGCGTCTTTACAATCAGAACCTGGGGGGTGGTGGTGGCGGTGGACCCCTCCAGTCTGGGGGTGGGGGCCTCATGCCCCTGGGTGGGGGAGGTCCTCTCATTCCTCGGGGCGGTGGTCCTCGCATTCCTGGGTGTGGTGGTCGGCCTTTAAGGGTGACAATAACATCATATTAAAGCATAGATATTGCACAGAAAGTTATACTTTCTCAGGTATTTTTTCAACTTTTAAAATACTCAGATGTGTCATGTCAAATTTTACATATCTACTCCAGCATGTGTAGAGTTTGAAGTTATATTTCGTATGTTAACGGCACACACAGCAGTATTCCAGCTATGTGCAAACAGTTGCCAGGCACACAATCAACGAAGTCACCCCTTAGAGTGAGTGAGTTAGTTGGGTTTAACGCCGCTTTTAACAGTATTCCAGTTATATCACGGCGTGTCAGCTTAATGTGGGAGGAAAGCCTGAAGTGATGCAGGTCTCAAACGTTTATCACTTCGGTGAAACCCACTAGCACGGGTATGGTGCTGACAAAGCTAGAAACATAATTGGGGCGAACCGGGATTCGAACCCACAATCATAGATTTCTGGCGTGCCCAAGGGACGCAACTCTGCACAGCGAATCGCGGCGCCTTAGACAACTGGGCCACCAATGCCCCCATCACCCCTTAGAACCAACATAAGCTGCAAGGGACTATTCTAACCCGGAATCCCTTCATGGCTATAGCATATAAATAATATATACTACCCGTATGATGTTCAGTACCAGTCAGTCATCCAGGATTCCAAACTAAGTGCCCTTGGCAAGAAATTTGGCGAAAATCTTTATTTTGTTCAAAATTGGAATTTTTATTATAGATATAGCCAATCTCACCGGAGTGTCTTTTGATATCAATTAATCAACGAAGACACTAGGGTGAGATTTTATTTATCCTTTTGCAGTTTGTAGACAGTAAAAAGCAGTGTCTTCACTGTAAAAAGTACTGCTAACACCTTCAGTAGCAGAGCCATTAGTGATGTCATTTGAGTGTGACATCATGGTAACCAATGACATCACAATGGTCAGCAAAGCATTGTGATGCAATTTCATTGCAGTGATATCTACTATGTAGATATCGCTTGATGTCACCCAGGCTATATCTCTTGTGGGAACTAGTTTTGGATGAAAAGTTATTTTCCTAAATTCAGGTGTATATTAACATTGACTTTTAACATTGCATTCAATGCAAAAATGTTGAACTATTAAATCCTCTTGCTCAATATTGGTCCTGTTATCAGAGAAATATGAGACTCCTCTACAAAGCCATCACATTAGTTATAACTATAACGGCATAATTTGGAAAATGTTTAATTCCAATTTTGGCATTTTTGCGAACATTTGCTCCAGACATGGGGCCGAATAATGTCCTCTGAGCCGGTCTAGAGAAATCCCTGAATACTCACCAAATCCTCCTGGTCCTCTGGGTCCCGGGGGAGGTCCCCTCCAGCCTGGGGGTGGTGGTCGCATCCCAGGGGGTGGGGGAGGACCATAGTTCTGGTTGCCTCCTGGGGGTGGAGGGGGCATGCCTGGCGGGGCAGGGGGACCTGCAACAGAAGTGAGTGAGTGAGTTTTGTTAGTTTGTTGTTTAAAGCTGCACTCAGCAATATAACAGCTACATGACGGCGGTCTGTAAATAATCGAGTCAGGACCAGACAATCCAGTGATTGACATTATGAGCATCGATCCAAGCTGTCAGGATACGATGACATGTATCAACCAAGTCAGCAAGCCCGACCACCCGATCCCGTTAGTTGCCTCTTACGACAAGCATAGCCACCTTTTACAGCAAGCATGAGTGAGTGAGTGAGTGAGTGAGTGAGGGAGTGAGTGAGTGAGTGAGCGAGTGAGTGTTGTTGTAAACACTATCAGAATTCAATCATTTCTGCTTGTGAGTGTACTGGACAGACACCCTGAGCAAGCATGAGTGAGTGAGTATGGTTTGACACCGCTGTTAACAATATTCCAACAATATCACAGCGGGGGACACCAGAAATGGGCTTCACACATTGTACCCATATGGGAAATCGAACCCACAGTGCTCCTTAACTATAACAGGTGACAAGGGCTTCACATATTGCACCCACAGTGTTCCTTAACTATAGCAGGTGACAAGGGCTTCACATATTGCACCCACAGTGTTCCTTAACTATAGCAGGTGACAAGGGCTTCACATATTGCACCCACAGTGTTCCTTAACTATAGCAGGTGACAAGGGCTTCACATATTGAACCCATAGTGTTCCTTAACTATAGCAGGTGACAAGGGCTTCACATATTGCACCCACAGTGTTCCTTAACTATAGCAGGTGACAAGGGCTTCACATATTGAACCCATAGTGTTCCTTAACTATAGCAGGTGACAAGGGCTTCACATATTGCACCCACAGTGTTCCTTAACTATAGCAGGTGACAAGGGCTTCACATATTGAACCCATAGTGTTCCTTAACTATAACAGGTGACAAGGGCTTCACATATTGCACCCACACCTGACCCAATAAGCCGGTTGAATGGGTCCCAATCAACATTAACAAATGGGTCCCAGTCGACATTAACAAACGGGTGCCAGTCGACATTAACATACGGGTCCCAGTCGACATTAACAAACGGGTGCCAGTCAACATTAACAAACGGGTGCCAGTCGACATTAACAAACGGGTGGCAGTCGACATTAACAAATGGGTGGCAGTCGACATTAACAAACGGGTGGCAGTCGACATTAACAAACGGGTGGCAGTCGACATTAACAAATGGGTGGCAGTCGACATTAACAAACGGGTGGCAGTCGACATTAACAAACAGGTGCCAGTCGTCATTAACAAACGGGTGGCAGTCGACATTAACAAAAGGGTGGCAGTCGACATTAACAAACGGGTCCCAGTCGACATTAACAAACGGGTGCCAGTCGACATTAACAAACGGGTGCCAGTCGACATTAACAAACGGGTGCCAGTCGACATTAACAAACGGGTGGCAGTCAACATTAACAAATGGGTCCCAGTCAACATTAACAAACGGCTGGCAGTCAACATTAACAAATGGGTGCCAGTCAACATTAACAAACGGGTGGCAGTCAACATTAACAAATGGGTGCCAGTCAACATTAACAAACGGGTGGCAGTAAACATTAACAAATGGGTGCCAGTCAACATTAACAAATGGGTGGCAGTCAACATTAACAAATGGGTCCCAGTCAACATTAACAAACGGGTGGCAGTCGACATTAACAAACGGGTGGCAGTCGACATTAACAAACGGGTGCCAGTCGACATTAAAGGGGCACTGATCTAACGGACTGGTTGTTGCCTTTGTTATTGTTTTTCCCCCGTGAGTACCCGGATGATACGCAACGCAACTGAGCGTGACCAGAGACTGGGGTACCGTCTGCAAGGACAGCTAAATAAACTTGGAGGCTGGAGGCAATATTTGTTTTACGCATTTTTGAACACTGATTGGTTAACTGTGATCTATAAAGATTTCGACAAAGGGCGCATGTTAATTCATTTCTTCAGCCTAAACAAACAGACAAAAAGAACAAGGGAGCTCATCGGATGTCGTCATTTGGAAATACCCCAGATGGTTATAGTTTAATACTAAAAACAGTATCCATGCAGTGAAAGCATTATCGGATTTTCGGCTTGCGTCGATAATACGATTACTACTCCCTTGTTGTCATCCACATTTTCTCGTATAACCCTACACTTGTGTATTTGTCGTCATTCACTTGATGCTCAGTTAATGAATTTATTACAGGTACAATTAGTGGTAGCACCACTTAGATTACCTGACAAAGGTTCCCATTTGGCATTTATTGTGTCTGGGGTAATTATTCAATCTAAATCCAGGTTTGAAGTGAGGTGAAATGTGTGTTATGTAATATGCACGTGGCAGCCCAGCAAGAGATGAATGATCAGTTGATTTACTTTTTTTGTAAACAAAACGGGTGCCAGTCAACATTAACAAACGGGTGCCAGTCAACATTAACAAACGGGTGCCAGTCAACATTAACAAACGGGTGCCAGTCAACATTAACAAATGGGTGCCAGTCAACATTAACAAATGGGCGGCAGTCGACATTAACAAACAGGTGCCAGTCGACATTAACAAACGGGTGGCAGTCGACATTAACAAACGGGTGGCAGTCGACATTAACAAATGGGTGGCAGTCGACATTAACAAACGGGTGGCAGTCGACATTAACAAACGGGTCCCAGTCGACATTAACAAACGGGTGCCAGTCGACATTAACAAACGGGTGCCAGTCGACATTAACAACAGACAGTTGTACCTTGCTGGTTGTTCTGCTGATATTGGTTCTGTCCTCCCATTGGCGGCATCATGTTCATCGGCGGCGGGGGGAACGGCGGCATGGACTGACCTGGAAACAAACAACCATTGCTGATGACACACGAACAATTTCTAAATTTAAAGTTCACATGATGTACAGCTTTTCCATAGCTTCTTTCCACAGCTTCTACGCAAGCTCCGACGTTCATACAGTTTGGTTCTCTCTCTATGAAGGGTCATACTCCACCAGAGAGGCACTGAATTTATATCCTCCTTAAACTTTAACATTAACATTATTCCAGCATTATAACGGGGCGGAAAAACAGAATGGCTGTCAACTGTGATGTTTTATACGCATGTAAGAAATTAAACCCAAGTGTTCAGCAATCTCATTAAAATCAGACCTTAGTTCTTGCTACCGCTAAACAAAGATCTGAGGACATCCCATTACGGGTCACGTCAGACCGACCTTGCGCAAACTTTGACCGACCAGTAGAATGACCAATCAGAAGGCAGCTTTCTCGTGCTTTACGGCACTAATTTCAAATTGCCGACTACGCTTCGGAACATATTTTGACAAATTCCCGATTACAAATTTGAAACCTAAACATAATAACATTCTGGAATGGCTGATAGATGGTCTAGATTGTATGGATACAGTCGTTAAACCTGTAACTATAGTTCGGAATACCCCGTGTTAAAGTTTTCGAGGTTGTATGATTAGAAATCACATTCTGACTGTCACTTTCATGATCTGGTAAGCGACGCTCTCATGGGTCGGATGAAAGGTCGTTCTGACGTGACCCCTAATGGGATGTCTTCAGATCTTTGTTTAGCGAGAACTAAGGTCTGATTTGAATGAGATTGGGTGTTTAGCAAATGCGTAGTCCACAACATGAGCATGAACATCTTTAGACTAAGCATGAAAACAACACAGCGTTTATATGTTTACTCTGTTGACTGGCATTAAGGAAGTTCAAAGTCAATAAAATAATTGAACCAACAACAGTTCACTGATTGGTATGCGGAGAAGCTTGACACGAGTGGGTAGAACTTTTGACCATAGCAGTAATAACTCACCAAATGCCCATTATGTAATTCCTATCCTTTGAATAACATTGTTATACACTTGTTGTATAGTTGTAGTAACTGCTCAATAAACCGTGTTTGTGTTTATATTCAAGTTGGTTTTTCCGCTATCCAAAGTGTGCAGTGAGGCCGTCTCATTGTTGATAGTCATTTGGAGACATAAATGCAAACTTAATTTATGCGAGCAAAGACCACTCGCATTTTCGCATTTAATTCACACCCGTGTTAACTTCAAGATTTACAGTAATTAGGTTCACTGAGAAGGACAAGGAAAATATTTCATCGTGATAAATTTGGCCTGGGAAAATGACTGTGCTTACACCAGAAATAGTTACATTTTTCATTATTGTACATCTACGCCCAACTTGCCATCATAATACACTAATTCACACATCATCCAAGCTTCAATAGTTCAGACATTTCACTGCTAACTAAATAGTCTGTCATGATCACGCAGACACTAACCAAACAATAGTGCCATTCATCCATCAGTGAAAAAGTCTATTCAAGGGAGAAAACTCTTGCTACCTTGATGATAAAGAGGTACAAAATAATATTGCAGTAAACATTTATCGTAATATTTGCTTCCTGTACAGTCATTTCACAACAGGACATTGTCATTTAACTTTGGATAGGATATTCTTCTATCATAATTAAATTTGAGAAATATTTTTAGGACAACTGAATGCTATGTCATAGACAATGAACCGGTCTACAACTCTGCTGTCAATTCATATGTTGTTTCATTGTAAAGATGTGTGGTGAAATGGGGTTTAACGTCGCATCCAAGATTATTGCACTTACATAGCGACATGCATGTACTTGTGTGTGTGTTTGCGTGGCTGCTTGTACTAGTCCGGACTGAAAAAGAAAATACTGCATCCCCGGGGACGCACAATAACATTAATTGTACCTAGAGCTCATCCAGAGCAGTTATGGGTGTCTGTTATTTCACCCATCAATCATGACCACTGTCCACATGATCATTGATTAATTCCAGGCTCCAAAGTAATTATCTAAACGTACAGTACACTACACTATTACATTACTTTACAGGACCCTCATATTGCATGCAAGGATCCTTAAAATTAAGGCCCGCTCTAATAAGCGCCCATGGCGATATTTGCTAATATAGTGGCAAGAGAACAATCCCAATTAGCACCCCTTCTGATTGTTCAATGTACACAAGACTTATTTCTTCATGTTTAATATGTGTTTTATGTGCATCCTTAATTATGGGAAATCTATTCTGGAAAAATTATATTTGTCGTATATAAACATTTCAGGCTGTCAGCATAAACCACGAAATTTAAGATCTTTCAACTCTGTTGTTTTTCACCAAAATAATATTCTAATAAGAGCCCCATATTTCTAATTTTGAGAGCGCCCTGGGCGCTTCTTATGTCGACTACGGTATGTGGTGTCCCCTGTGTCCCCTTGTAACTCAAGGTACAAATAAGTGAGTGAGTATTGTTTTACGCCGCTTTTAGCAATATTCCAGCAAAGTCACGGCGGGGGACACCAGAAAGGGGCTTCACACATTGTACCCATGTCGGGAATCGAACCCGGGTCTTCTGCGTGACGAGCGAACACTTTAACCACTAGGCTACCCGACTGCCCCTCCAAGGTATATATTAAAGTTTAGCATTGGTGACTTCCATGCTTTATTTCGACCACTGTTTACCTGTAATTGTTTCTCACTGGACTTACCATGAGGTGGCATTCCGGGTGGAGGGAAGGGGGGCATCCCTCCAGGGGGCACCGGGGGAGGGTGCATGGACTGCTGGGGTGGGGGAACTGGAGGGGGTGGGAGTGGAGCTGACGACGACACTGAAACAAACAGGACAGGTTAACATGGTCAACACAAAGACTTCCCCATACATGTACCTGTGGAGTGAGTGAGTGAGTTGGGTTTAACGCCGCTTTTAACAGTATTCCAGTCATATGACAGCGTGTCAGCTTAATGTGGAAGAAAACCCCGAAGGGATGCAGGTCTCAGACGTTTACCACTTCGGTGAAACCCACGAGCACAGGTATGGTGCTGACAACCATTGAAACATAATCCGGGCGAAACGGGATTCGAACCCACAATCATTGGTTTCTGGCGTGCCTAAGGGACGCAACTCTGCACAGCGAATCGCGGCGCCTTAGACGACTGGGCCACCCGTGCCCCCGTACCTGTGGAAGCATGGATTTCTGTAAACAAGATATGTTCTGTTTATGTACTACTACATACAAATGGGGAAAACTAGTCCTGTATCATACCATTATCCAGAGGCAAGGGAGTTGCCTGACTATAAAAGTCCAGTTTCCAACCTTGCCGAACCTGGCTGGATTTTTGTGGCTCAGTCGTAACGCCACCAGTAGCTATTACAAGTAATGTCCCTTCTAGGTCCCTATTATTGACCAATCAAATTCCATCTCTCATATAACTTGCATTTGCTCAAACAAAATGGCAATGCCAAGTTAAAATGATCTGATGGATAATCGAGATCTGTATTGTCATAAAATGGGTATTACCTTACAAAGTACATCAAATCAATTATGCACATTGACTAAAAACATGAAAAGACTTCAAAAATATGTCGACACCCAGTTGATGTACATATGTTTTGCAAATCCTGCAGTCGACTGAAATACGGAAGTCGCGAGGTTGTTTATGAACCAGACGTCAATTTCATAACGTGATTTTGATTGGATTATGCATAGGCTCATTAGTCCATCAAAAACATAATTCGAGCCCAGTTCCGATTTTTATTGTCAGTTAATTGTCTTGATTAGGGAAGATGGTATCATATTAGTTTGCTTAATGCCTCATTCAACATTATTCAACTTGTACATAATCAAGTCTGGATCAGACAATCCAGTGATTGCTATTATTATGAGCAAGGATCTACGTCATGGGAATACGATGACCAATTAACCAAGAGCCTGAGTCTGACCACCTGATCCACTAAGTCGTCTCTTAGCATAGGACCAATACTTACACAGAATCACTTTGTGGAGGAGGAGATTGATGCATCTAAATTCAACATCAACATTTCATATCAAATGATAACAGAGCTCCTTGTTGTCTTGATCAGACAATCCAGTGATTGACATCACAAGCATCGATCTACCCGTTTGGGATACGATGACATGCATCAACCAAGTCAGCAAGCCTCACCACCCAATCACGTTAGTTGCCTCTTACGACAAGCATGGCCACCTTTTACGGCAAGCATGGGTTGCTGAAGACCTATTCTACCCGGGATCTACACAGGTCTCATGTCCTAAGTGAGTGAGTGAGTGAATGGGGTTAAATTCAGCCACCACTATTCAAGAAATATACCACCCAACTTTTGATAGCGATAATCAGATATGTCCTATTTAAATTTAGTAAAATCTAAATATTTTTTACATTTTTGCATCACTCCTTTATGCATTCACTGCTTACCTTATGACAACAAAAAGACAGCACTCAGCGATGGTCTTGGGTGAAGAAAAAGTTGTTTTCGTTTGCAAATCCTACTTTTTTGCATATTATGAAAATCAGTTCTGTGTATGATGGACAGACTATCCCTATCAAAAGTGAATTGTATATGTTCGTCCCAGCAGTGTGTTGATGCACAGTCTCACCTTGCATACCCATGCCGCCGGGCTGGGGGGTGAGGCTGGAAGGGGGTGGGGGAGGGGGGATGAGGGGGTTTGTAGCTGAGGAGGGTGCAGGAGGTTGTGAGGGTGGTGGCGGGGCGTCGGCAAACAGCTGATGGGGTCGATCTGTCAGTGACAGGGGGTTCTGTGCCGCCAGCAGTCGTTCTGGAACATAGAAGTGGTTCAGTTAGATCTCATCTGTCGTGTTGAATCAAGGTTTTGTTTTAATGGGACCTTAAGTTTCTTTTGAACACCATTTATCCAGACCGGCTCAGAAGCCAACATTTGGCCTCAAGTCCGCAGCAAATGATCGTAAAAACTCCAAATTCGAATTAAACATTTCCCAATTCCTCAGAACTTACGGAAATAAGAACATTAGTAATCAAATTTTGAACAATATCAAGATTTTGTTCTATTTTGCTTGCCAGGACACTTAGTTTGGAATCCTTGATAATGTCCTGATATCACAATGTGAGGCTTAATGTTTAAGATCCAGAAGTGATGCAGCTCTAAGACATTTACCACTTTGGTGAAACCCAGGAGCATTGGTTGGTACTGACAAACAAGGTGAATCTGGGATTTGAACCAACAATCATAGGTTTCTGACACACCAAAGGGAGGCAACTCTAACATACTCTATGTAATAACCAGTGGAAACCAATGCATCTTTCTCTTTTATTCATAAGCAAACAAAGAGAGTGAGTGAGTATGATTTTACGCCGCTTTTAGCAATATTCCAGCAATGTCATGGCCGGGGACACCAGAAATGAGCTTCACACATTGTACCCACATCGGGAATTGAACCTGGGTCTACCCGACCGCCCCAAAGCAAACAAAGAATGGGCACAATTCTTTTAATATTTTCAACAAGAAATTCTTAAATCATGCTTTTTTATATTAAAAGCTTGCTAGTTTTGGTGTCCTTAACACCATATTAACAGTTTTTGCAAAAGTAAAAAAAGAAATTAAAAAAACACAGTAAATAACTCAACATGCACAAGAAAAGAAACCATTACAAATGCCCCCCTCATAGCACATTAATTTGACCCAGTTGTTAGCTGGAGCGACCATTAGGATCATCTCTACTGCATTATCTCCCCTTGACTGCTCACCTGCTGCTGACCCATGGCGTTCTCCTTTGGATTCTTTCTTAAATGCATATGATATTGTGATGGGTCTGTTGCAGAGGTACTGCCCATTCATAGCTTCTATTGCTGCATCGGAGGCCTCAAAACTTGCAAAGTTAATGAAAGCGTAGCCCTTTGAGTTGCCAGTGTCCGGGTCTCTCATTATCTGAAGAAAATATATTGGTCAGAATTTTTTAATTTAAAATACATGTGAGTGAGTGAGTGAGTTGGATTTAACGCCGCTTTTAACAGTATTACAGTTATATCACTGCGTGTCAGCTTAATGTGGGAGGAAAGCCCGAAATGATGCAGGTCTCAGACGTTTACCACTTCGGTGAAACCCACGAGCACAGGTATGGTGCTGACAAACCTAGAAACATAATCGGGGCGAACCGGGATTCTAACCCACAATCATAGGTTTCTGGCATGCCCAAGGGACGCAACTCTGCACAGCGAATCGCGGCGCCCTAGACGACTGAGCCACCCGTGCCCCCAAAATACATGTGAAAGTTATGAGGGGAATTAAAGAGTTTTCAGCCTAGCATATACAGACTTGAAATATTGTTGTGAAATCTGTTTCACCGTTAATAGTTGTTACCCATGGTAAAGGATCAATGTGTGTTATCCCACGCTGAATTCCTTCATCCAACGCTTATTTGTGGCAGATAATCGGGCTGCCTTCCCAGCATGCAACAGTTCATTTATATTTTGTTTTTGTATGTTGTTTAAAGCTGCACTCAGCAATATTCCAGCTATATGATGGCGGTCTGTAAATAATCGAGTCTGAACCAGACAATCCAGTGATTGACATCATGAGCATCGATACACGCAATTGGGATCAATGACATGTATCAACCAAGTCAGTGAGTCTGACCACCCAATCCCGTTCGTCGCCTCTTAAGACAAGCAGAGTCGCTTTTTACCGCAAGCGTGAGTAGCTGAAGACCTCTTCAGCATCCCATGCTTGCTGTAAAACTAATCTATGGTGATTGACTCTCTAGGGATAAAATTTTGGTGACAGCTCTATTCTCAGTTTTGTCCATTTCAATACAAAGGAGTAGAGCACTGACACCAATTATCAAGATCATCAGCAAATCACTGGATTGATGGATGCCAAATTGTGAAAGATGACTCAACAAACACAAGTGACGACTAATATAGGTCACAGGTAAGGATAAGAAAAGACAACCTAGACATGCAAGGATCAAAGTTTTCGGATATCTCCTCATAAAACTAAACATGCTAAATGACAATTGAAAGTTAGTTTGTGTAGGAGATTAAAAACTATTTTATGAATAAAAACGACCTCAGAGAAATGAGAAAATTGGATGTTTTAAGTTCATACATACAAATTACAACACACTTAAACATTAATTGCTGTTGTCATGATAATAACAATTGTAAGACAGCTTTGCGATAAATCGCAAAGAACAAGGAAGAACGAAGCGTGGTTTATTTCATGATAAAACATTGTTCTAGGATAATGGCATACCTTGGGCGTCTGCAGGATGACACCAAATGCACTGAATGTGTCGTACAACAGTTTTTCATCCACCTCAGGGTCAAGGTTGCCGATGAATATATTAGCACCAACATCGAGGTTCTTCTGGTGAGCTGAGGCCTGTCAAAGAAACAAAGCGTTGTACAATACTGGTCACGACGGCATAAATACCAGTAGTGTTGTACAATACTGGTCATGACAGCTTAAATACCAGTAGTGTTGTACAATACTGGTCATGACAGCTTAAATACCAGTAGCGTTGTACAATACTGGTCATGACAGCTTAAATACCAGTAGTGTTGTACAATACTGGTCATGACGGCTTAAATACCAGTAGTGTTGTACAATACTGGTCATGATGGCTTAAATACCAGTAGTGTTGTACAATACTGGTCATGACAGCTTAAATACCAGTAGCGTTGTACAATACTGGTCATGACAGATTAAATACCAGTAGCGTTGTACAATACTGGTCATGACAGCTTAAATACCAGTAGCGTTGTACAGTACTGGTCATGACAGCTTAAATACCAGTAGCGTTGTACAATACTGGTCATGACAGCTTAAATACCAGTAGCGTTGTACAAAACTGGTCATGACGGCTTAAATACCAGTAGTGTTGTACAATACTGGTCATGACAGCTTAAATACCAGTAGTGTTGTACAATACTGGTCATGACAGCTTAAATACCAGCAGCGTTGTACAAAACTGGTCATGACAGCTTAAATACCAATTGTGTTGTACAATACTGGTCATGACAGCTTAAATACCAGTAGCGTTGTACAAAACTGGTCATGACAGCTTAAATACCAGTAGTGTTGTACAATACTGGTCATGACAGCTTAAATACCAGCAGTGTTGTACAATACTGGTCATGACAGCTTAAATACCAGTAGTGTTGTACAATACTGGTCATGACAGCTTAAATACCAGTAGCGTTGTACAATACTGGTCATGACAGCTTAAATACCAGTAGCGTTGTACAATACTGGTCATGACAGCTTAAATACCAGTAGTGTTGTACAATACTGGTCATGACAGCTTAAATACCAGTAGCATTGTACAATACTGGTCATGACAGCTTAAATACCAGTAGCATTGTACAATACTGGTCATGACAGCTTAAATACCAGTAGCATTGTACAATACTGGTCATGACAGCTTAAATACCAGTAGGGTTCTTGGCAGTGTCTCTAAACATGCAATAACACAACTATACCTTAGTCAGCAATAACACTACTTGATCTTAGTCAGCAATAACACAACTACATCTAAGCAATAAACACAACTATATCTTAGTAAGCAATATCACAAGTACATCTTAGACATCAATAACACAACTAGATCCTAGTTAGCAATAACAACTGGGTCATAGTTAGCAATAATACAACTAGATCTCAGCAATAATGCAACCATACCTTAGTCAGCAATAACACAACTACCTCTTAGTCAGAAATAACACCACCAGATCTCAGCAATAACATAACTACATCTTAGTCAGCAATATTACAACTTGATCTCAGTCAGCAAGAACACAACAACTACATTTTAGTCAGCAATAATCATGATAATACAACTAGATCTTAGAAATATCACGACTGGATCTTAGCAATAACTAGATTTTAGTCAGCAATGTTGTAATCGTTTGGTTTACTCATCATGCTCATAGTTTATAAAAATTTGTTTGTCACTGTCAGTGGTAATTTTTAGATTTGTTTTGTTTAAAGGTTTTGTTTTACATGAATTGCTGATCAGGTGAAATAAAGAAACACTGAATATAACAACCTTTCTAAAGACAAGTAAAAGAGTTACCTCCCTTCCAATACTCATTCACTTATTTCCTTGCCATGTTCACTGAAATGACTTGGAAGGGAAGAATACAAAGACTGTTCTTGAATATTTAATCTTATTCACATGTATACGGTGGTCCATAAGGGACATGGAGTCTGTTTTTCAATATTTTGATGTTTAACTTACTTTTATCGTAACCTTTTGCAAATTAACACAATTTGCCATACAAATATGTGATAAATCATGTATAAACACATCCAGTGTAAAGAATGTGTAAATACCGCGGTGGGAATATTATCACCGCGGTGTAAATAGTTTCGACCGCGGTGGAAATAGTTTTCTGTATTTTCATTTTAGTTTTTGACATTTTTGTTTTGTGTTTTTGACATTTTCATTTTAGTTTTTGACATTTCCGTTTCGTTTTTCAGCGATTATATATTTTCTTTACACATGATTTATCACTTATTTGTAAGACAAATCGTGTTAATTTGCAAAAGGCTACAATAAAAGTAAGTGAAATATCAAAATATGGAAAAACAGACTCCATGTCCCTCATGGGCCACCGTACATGTATGAAATTTCAAATTACTGAATCTGTGAACACAGCGATATAAAATAAAACACCTCATTTATATTCCTGAGTGCAGTCAAGTCCCTTTAATCCGACACGGTTGGTTGCATATGATTATGTCTGATTAACGAGGATGTCGGGTAAACGAAATTAAGTAGTATCAACATTTCGGACAACTACACGATAGATAACGATACAAACACGTCATAAAAAAATAAAAATGAAATATTCATATTGTTATGTTACATTGTTAGCAGAATGTTTTCTAATCATGCAACCTCTAAAGCTCGACACAAAACAACTGTTACGGGATGTATAGCTGTATGACACGGGCTGTGTACTCGCAGGCAGATGACCATGGAGTACGCTGATCACTGTGTCGGATTAACGAGACTGATTTCGGCAATTCGTTGCAAATTTGGTGTGTTAGAGTCGGAGTGCGAGACTGGCGGATTAACATGTCTAAATAGCACTGATTTAATCGGTTCCCATCATTAGTGTCGGATAAAGCCGATCGTCGGATTAACGAGACTTGACTGTACATGGACACAGTGGAACTGGACAACAAGTAACTGGACAATATAACTGACCTTGTTTACTCGGATGGGTTTACCATACAATTTGATCATGTTCATGATCTTAATGGCATAGTCCGCATCTTCCTCCCCTAGGAACTCCACGAAGCCATAACCTTGGTGAGCTTGTGTCACACGGTCCTTGGGCATGTGGACATTAACTGCAAACAAGAAATAAGTTACAAGTAACTCAGTTACCCTGGTCCTAACAATCGGCTGACAGAGCGAGCAGCTATTCATTGGTGTACAACGCTAACTACAGTTTTCAGTATGTCATGTGTTACCGGTTACAACAAGCAGGGTTACTTTGTAGTGCTGGGACCTACTCCGCCCTGAAACTATGAGGGGGTACACAGAATTGCACTTGACCACACTTCTTTGCTTTCCAATTAGTGAAACGTGGAGGATTGAACTCAATTGCCAGCCTGAAACTAAGCTAGGCTAATGATGTAATCTAATTAGCCAACACCCATCAAGAGCTCTATCACAAATAAATAGTTCTTGATTGTTTAACTTTATGTGCACATGGTGCAGTAGTCTATCACTCCCAACAATTCGAAACTTGATTAAAAATATTAGGTTGGTTGTATTGTTGTTTAACGCTGCACTCAGCAATATTCCAGCTATATGACGGCGGTCTGTAAATAGTGAGTGAGTGAGTACGGTTTTACGCCGCTTTTAGCAATATTCCAGCAGTATCACAGCGGGGGACACCAGAAATGGGCTTCACACATTGTACCCATGTCGGGAATCGAACCCGGGCGGTCTGTAAATAAACGAGTCTGGACAAGACAATTCAGTCATTAATATCATGAGCATTGATCCACGCACTTGGGATCGATGACATGCATCAACCAAGTCAGCGAGTCTGAACACCCGATCCCGTTCGTCGCCTTTGACGAAAAGCAAAGTCGCCTTTTACAGCAAGCATGGGTTGCTGAAGATCTATTCTACCCTAGATCTTCAGGGATAATTTTTTTTTTTTTAAATAAGGATTTTCCTCATATTACATTGGAGAAAACATTACAATCATAAATGGGTGCTTCATAAGAAAGGGGATCCAAGGGCTTAGGACAGTGTTGGGGGCAACCTACCTTCCCACACTAACACAACTAACTCGAACGATTGACAAGGCATGTGATATCTGTGAAGTGAGAGCCACAGCAACATAGAAAAAACAGCGCAATAAATTTTTGCCCGTTAAACTGTAATGCTATAAAAAAACGAGTGCAGGCTAAAACGACACCTCAGCAAAACGGCACCTATTTCTCTGGCGTAAACGACACCGCATTTGGCGAAAATGGCTACTATGTATCGGGCGAAAACGGCACCTCTATTTTTAATAACGATAACAACGATTTTTGTAGTAATGTATGGTTTATTTACATGGTATTTCCTGTTTGTTGCCATTGTGAATAGTTGTGTGATCTGACAGCACTATGTTAGGCCTCTTAAAAACAGTTTCAGCTTAAATTGAGTAAAGGTACTTAAAACTTCAAAGCGTATAGTGTTTTCACAATAAGTTAACTGCGTAAATTGGAGTAGGAGGCTAATTTCTTACTTGTTTTATTTCACAATTTCACAATTATTTGTGTTTGTAAGAGACGATGTGAGTTTAATTTCGATTACTTTTCTTCAAAGCATGTTATGTTTTCACAATAACATGATAAGTTGAGCATGTTGAGTTGCGTGTAAGGTAAGTTGGATTATAGTAGAGGCTAATTTCAAATGTAAACTTGTTTTAAAGTCTCACAATTATTGGCGTTTGCAAGTTACAATGTAAGTTTAATATCATTTATTTTACCAAGGTAAAAAAAAATAAGGTACCATTTTCGCTTGAGTCGAGGTGCCGTTTTTGCCCGCTGACGTTTTGCTGAGGTGCCGTTTTCGCTATAACCCTAAGATAACAATCAACAAAATGCTACCCACCAACTGGACCCGCTTGTAGAAACAGCTCCCATAGGATGGCTTCTGTAACCTTCTCATCCAAACTTCCCACATACACTGTGGCATCTGCAATACCAAGTTCAAATATGATATCAATCAAATATGCATTCTCAACAATTTGAAGATTACAATACCTACAGGATTCCTTATCATTGTCACTATACATGTATGGATATACCTTTGTATCACAAGTTGGATTTAAAATTACTTCAGAATTAGGAATATTTCCTTGTTTACTTATTTAATATTCATGTTGTTTTGGAATGTATTGTAATCTCATGCATCATTTACTTGTTGTTGTTTTTTATTTTACAAATGACGTCGCGAGATTTGTCAGTTGTGTTGATACTTTCATGCTGTTTGCAATATATTCTTTGTAATCATTTACAAAGAGCTTCGAATATTCTTGCCGGTAAAACTTAGACAAAAATTACTTCCATGTTCAATAGAAGAACGCATCATTAGCCACATGATGAGACAATAAGCAAGAATACAATATGGAAGTTCCATCTATGTACGCGTTGAAAGAATATAAATCAGCGAAACGTTTGTACAAACCTTGATTTCTTTCTGCTATTGGTGCCGACGACATTTTGACGCCATGCGTATAACCGGAAATCGGCTCAAGGAAGCAGTATCACAAGCGAGTCTGTATTCGCGAGTTATCTCCCATGTGGTTTTTAACCTTTTCAGTTTCTCCCGTCTGCCTAAACACTATTTATTTACACAACAACCAACAATTGTCGATGAAATAAAAGATAAACACTTTTTGCATTCAAATTATTCTATTTGAATAGATTTATATAAGAAATAACATATTGAAACAGACTGCTTTTAATGAAATGTTTTCAAGGGACATAAAGTGACATTCGTCGAGTCCGGTTGAAAATAAAATAAATTTAATCTAAGTCTTCAGTGGCATGAAGTTATCAATATATTACACTACAACAGACAGTTATCATGACTGTGTAGGTCCTCCAGGGCTGAATAGCCCTCCAGTACACCATGTTTGTCAGATGACTAAAACGGGTGGGTAGATACTAATGGTCATCGTACCCCGACGGGTAAGGGCTTTGCTCATCCTATCGTCCACGGTATACCCGGCCCAGACTCCATTATTTACAAGTTGCCGTAGTATAGCGGAATATTTCTGACAAAAAACAAGCATCATCGCCTTAAAAATATCATGTCATATTTAGGTATGCCCAACTTTAATTTCCAAAATTGTGAACCAGTTACTTATTTTCACGGGGCGGTCGGGTAGCTTTGTGGTTAAAGTGTTCGCTCGTCACGCCGAAGACCCGGGTTCGATTCCCGACATGGGTACAATGTGTGAAGCTCATTTCTGGTGTCCCCCGCCGCGATATTGCTGGAATAGTGCTAAAAGCGGCGTAACACCATACTCACTCACTCACATATTTTCACATTTCTTTATATGACAGTATATCAACGAAGTAGAACCTTGACAACTGAAATGTTCATCTCAGCGCTGCATTTGAAGTTTAAAGATCAGATAATAAAAGAAGACTGCACGCTTCGTGGTTTTGAGCCCATTTTCAGTCTAGACCTACAGACGTTGTAATTTGTGCTATGTGTAAAACCAAAGACGTACATATATAGATATAGATTGTATATACGTCTTTGGTAAAACTAATACACGTTCACATGCACCTCTATACATATGGATGTATATCTGCATACGTGTAGCCTAGTGGTTAAAGCGTTCGCTCGTCACGCCGAAGACCCGGGTTCGATTCCCGACATGGGTACAATGTGTGAAGCCCATTTCTGGTGTCCCCCGCCGTCATATTGCTGGAATATTGCTAAAAGCGGCGTAAAACCATAGTCACTCAATCACTTGCATACGTGTAAATATAGACACGTTTAATCATGTCAGCGTTAGAAATTGGCACTAGTCCTAAAGTCCTTGCAAAACTGCCCAGATGTTAAGGTATCATAAGGACCAGTAGAAATTTGCCATCTTTAAGGGATTTGCCATATGTTTAGTGGACTAAAAATGTTAGTTTCTTCCTCTCCATGTGTGTCTGAAGCAAGTGCAAATGTAGCATTGCATAAGTGCAAATTTGTACTGTATATATATGTTGTTGTGTGATCGTTTATGCCAACGCCAGAGGATGATCTAATATATCTGTTCAAGTCTTTGAACGGCATTTAGAAGTGATACACATAAGGAAGAGAATTTATGGATACCAATTTCTTTAATATGAGGAACACAGCGTTTCTGTGTATATGCTTTCTCTTTCATCAGGTGAATGTGATATATTCCCCCGATGAAGGAGTAAGTATATACTCCGTTGCGTCTGTTGTTTAACGCTGCACTCCGCAATATTCCAGCTATATGATGGCGATCTGTAAATAATCGAGTCTGGACCAGACAATCCAGCGACTGACATCATGAGCATCGACCCACGCAATTGGAATACAATGACATGCATCAACCAATTCAGCGAGTCTGACCACCCGATCCCGTTAGTCGTCCCTTACGACAAGCATAGTCGCCTTTTACGACAAGCATGGGTTGCTGAAGACCTATTCTATCCCGGATCTTCCCGGATCCTACTAACGTGAAAGTGCATAAAGTCACACAGAGCAAAATATTTAACTTGACATTCACGATTGACATAACGAGGCCACTTCAAGGCCTACTTCGTTTAAAGACTGGTCATTAAGAGTTAATGTGAATCTTGTCAGACATCCGTTTCAGCTATATTTATCACGGTGGCCTGTAACAAAACAGTCTGGTCCAGAAAACCAGCCGTTGGCACGAGCAAAATGGCCGACACGATAAACGTGACGGCAGAGATTTGTGGTGTTGCCGGTGTCAGTCGTCATTGATAAGTTGGCTGATCATTGAAAGGTAATTATAAAGATGCGTCGAATAGATTCTGAGGTAAATTCATAGATTGCTGTAGACCGTAGAAGGTTTGAACGTGCATTTCTTCGTTTGGTAGGGTCGGCGGGTATTCGTGCAAGGGCATTCAGTCAGACGTTTTGATTTTTCCTCGTGTATACTAAAACTGAATTCAAGATTAAAGGGTCTAAATGATCAGAAACAACGCTACTGTATGTATTTGTGCCAGGGAATTCCCAGGGTTTCCCCATGAATGTGGAAGTAGTCCGTCAGTGTTTACGTCATTTCAAGAATAGTCTCGCGGAAACACGCATGAACGTCATCATAATTATATCTTTCACGAAATTTCATACGCTTATTAACGTCATGTGACCGACCTCTCGTCCAATGGAAAGCCGTATTTCGAGTAAACCTCACATTAAAAAATATGCATGTTTGAATCAATAAATGAAACTTATTTTCTTTACCGATGACGTCATTCGGAGGCTGCACACCAAGGGTTCAGCTGCTATGGGCAACTTGGGTCAACCGAAGGCGTACATCAGTTAAAATGTGCTGACATTGGTCAGCTTAGGTCAACACGGATTCACCTGGGTCGTCCGAGTTTTAGCAATGGAACGCAGGCACTAAAACCCAAGTCGTCAGCTTGATCAGGTTGGAAGGCCTCGCCTTTAAGATAACATACATGTTCATCAATGTAATTGTTGGAACAAAAGTATGCCCACATAATTTTGATATATGGCAGACATATTTTGATTGTTTTTGTTTTTTTGTTTAACGCCGCACTCAGCAATGTTCCAGCTATATGGCGGCGGTCTGTAAAATAATCGAGTCTGGACCAGACAATCCAGTGATTGACATGTATCATGGCATGTATCAACCAAGTCAGCGAGCCTGACCACCCGATCCCGTTAGTCGCCTTTTACGACAAACAGAGTCGCCTTTTACGGCAAGTATGGGTTGCTGAAGACCTATTCTACCCCGGAAGGCAGACATATTTTGAATATTTTCTGTGAAGGTTCATATATATTCGACTTTATACAGTAATCGTCAGTACATTTCCTTTAATCACTGTTTGATTCTAAAGATATCCAATTCGACTAAAGGTCTGATTTCAGAGAGCGATGTTGTGCTGAGATGCGTGGGATTTCATCCAATAAAGCGACTCTCAAGAAACCTGGTTACCCAGATAATTAAATACTAAACAAGTGTAAATAAAATGATGAAACTATAATAACCCATGATTCGTTAACCCTCACCTGGTTCGGTGAAATGACAAATTTGTTTGTGCGATACCATACAATACAGTGGTTAATATCATGAGCATCGATCTACTCAACTGGGATACGATGACATGCATCAACCAAGTCAGCGAGCCTGACCACCCGATCCCGTTATTCGTCCCTTATGACAAGCTGCTGAAGACCTATTCTATCCCGGATCTTGATGGGTCGAAATGACAAATAACGGGACAGGGGTATGGTGTGGTTATTATGCTTCAGCTGCGAAAGCGTAGAGATGTACCGCTCAGCTACTGATGTATACAACGTCATTTGATAGAAATATACATATCCTGTATCATGTAGATGTCGGATACTAAAACGTTACCAGTTCGCAGCTAAGTATGACATCAATGTGTCGTTACCTGGGTACCGCTCACAAAGCGATCTTAGCGCTAAGACTGTCGTAGGTCTTTGTTAAAGTATGGGAGTTACGATCGTCTTAGCGCTAAGATGGCTTTGTGGAACAGGTCCCAGGCACAGTCTGCCTGACTTTTATTTCTCAGAAGATATCTCTGTTACGCATTAATCGTACGTACGCATCGCCAAGTCAAGCACCTGTAGCAGCGGGAGGGAGATGTTCTTTGTGTCACCCTCATGAGTTGTGCCACTTATATGTCAAACTTAACAAAAGGTCATTTACACATTCTCGGTCCACTCACACAAAGCAATCTTAGCACTTAAAGATTGTAACCTCACATACTTTAACCTAGATTGACGATAGTCGTATTTCTACTAAAATCGCTTTGTGTAAGTGGACCCTGGAAAATAATTAAGCATATTCCCATGTGACATGACAATTTCTAGAAATTGCATCTATCTATTTTCAGATGAAATACATTTGTTTATGTTTACAAAGGGGCCAACTTTACTGATAGAAACTCAAATCAAGCATGCATGTAATGGCATAATTTGTAACTGTTCCAGGACAATAGTTATGCATAGCCCTTTCGGATGTTTTCTCTGCTTTGAGACCATAAGGAGGCCACAAAAGTGTTCTTACACCAACTTGTCATCTGGTATCCATGGTATCAAAGACATTTACCAACATGTCAATGTCAAAGTTTGGAACATATGAAAATAAAGGAATGGCACTTAACATATCTACACTGTAGATATCCTGCAATGAAATTGCATCACACTGCTTTGCAGACCTTTGTGAAGTCATTGGTTACCATGACATCACAATCAAATGACATCACTAATGGCTCTGCTGCTGAAGCTATTAGCGGTACTTTTTACACTTAAGACACTGCTTAATACTGTCTACAAACTGAAAAAGTTGAAAAAATGATATTGGATGGTAAATAAAATCTCACCCTCATGTTTTTTCATATGAAATATATCAAATATATCAACACTCTTTAATAAAAGTGGAAAAGCAGTTTTTTCCACTTTTATCAACTCATGTTGATATATTTGATATCAAAAGCCACTCGGGTGAGATTCTATATTTCTTACCCAG